TTTGGTCCCAGCAACAACGGTGCGGATACGACTATACAGCTCGTTGCGTCTGGATCATCCGCCGAGGGAGCTGATTGCAAAATAAGAATAATAAACGAGTAGGTTTGGTACCAAAGGACGGGCATAACATTGTTAAAGCTTTCTAATTATTCCTCTAAGTGACTTCACAATTTAAATAATTTAATTTTTTTTATTAAAAACAAAAAATTTTAAATTTAATTCGTCCGGTATTTGAGTAGAGTTGAATAAGAGATGAAATATAATTATATTTATATGATATTTAAGTAAGGTGAAATAAGAGATGAAATATAATTATTTTTTGTTATATAAAATAAAATAAAAAATATATATATATAAAGAAGGAATTCAAAAGAAACCTACAATTCGTTTTTATATTAAGTTCACAGATAACACAAAATGAAAGCATGAAACACATACACATGCATTCAATCTAAAGGCACCCAGAATCTGTAATAGAAACAAAAGAGGAACATCAACTAATGCACAGAACTTAAAGCAAAAACTGAAAGATGTAACATCCATTAACACCAATCGAGCTAAATTCACAAAAAGAAAGAGGTGGAAAGACCTGTGAGATCACCGGTGATGAGGACAAGAGAAGGGTTGATGATGGAGAGAGCCGGACCCACAAGGTCTCTGAAGTCAACGGCTCTATCAGGATGGTGCACGCTGAAATGGAGATCGGAGAGCTGCACCACCCATACTACTGATTCCGGTCCACCTTTCACGTCTATCACTCTCCTTTGCGACTTTGTTTCTGAAGAAGATGAAGATTCGTGGTCTTGCTGCGCATAGGAAATGGATGCTGCAAGGTACAAGACTATTAGAATGAGAATAGTCATCTTCCCAACTATGAGGAAGACTCCTTTCATCTCTATGCCCGAGCAGAATTGCACCGTTGCAGTGGATTTGGTCCCAGCAACAACGGTGCGGATACGACTATACAGCTCGTTGCGTCTGGATCATCCGCCGAGGGAGCTGATTGCAAAATAAGAATAATAAA